CCGCCCCCCGGAGTGCTCCGGCATGCAGCCCCCCCAGGTCGCCCTGCTGCCCTGGCCCACTTCCTGTCCAGGTCACTAATACCTGTGACCACTAATACCATTGCGCCTCGCTCGGCCCCGGAGGCAGAGCGGGGTTGGGGGCCCTGGTTTGGGCTGTGCGAGCAGCAGCTGGGGCAGCGGTGGGGTAACTGCCAGTGCCCATTCCCCCCCCCCGCAATCTGGATTCGCGGTGAGGGCAGCAGTCAAGGGCTGAGCCTCCCCCACCGCCGTGCCAATCCTTCTCCAAGCCGAGCCCAGGAAGGGGTTTGCGACAGGAGCAGAAATGGCTGCTCTTCGGGCTCGTGAAAACTTTATGACAACTCTTCTCTCTGTGCCGCCACAGGCCCTGGCAAAACCCCCCGGCTCCGCCAGGAACAAAGCCCCGGCAAACTCTGCTCAGTGAGTTTAAGCTTCCTCGAGTAGATGCCTAAGGACGTGGCTCTAAACGGGCAGCGAGCTATGGACTGCACGCAGAGGGGACCCTTCGCTGCCGGCCAGTCGGCACAAGGGCTCAGCTGGCCCAGGGCTGAGAGCCCACCTGAGGTGCAGCTTGTCACCTTGATGATGCTTTCCTCTGCTGATGAGCTGGTGAGGCGCAGAATTAATGGATCTGGTGTACATCAAATGTCTACCAACACCATCCTCATGACACACCCTCACACAGGCATCTCCATGCTGATCTTAACAGCAGGCCTGGTCTTGGGCAGCGTGGGTGCCTTGACTGGACACTGGCCTGAATTAAGACGAGGTCTAGACAGGGGCCTGGTGGGTGAAATCCCTGTCTCTGCGCCCCATGCTCTGCCCCTCCTGGTCATCGGTCTTATCTGTCCAGAATATCAGGCCTCTCTTTGGTCAGTGCCTCGTGCGAGGGGCCTGGCTCTCCATTTGGGTACTACAAACCCACATCTATTAGTGATAACACTGCATCCCTCACACATGGCGCCAAACTAATCCCGGGTGAAACTCCACCAACTCCGTGCACCAGTCTGGCTCATTGTGGTCACCAGCTCGGCTGCTGCAGTGGGATTTTCTCCCTCCTCCCCGTGCTGTCAGGAGTTGGATGCAAAATGCCCTAGCGACTACTGATGCTTGGTGGCCTCGACATTTTATTATCAAGGATTAACTTAGCCAGTGCAAGTGGCTGGGCTCTAAATTCCAGGTAATGAGTATTAGATGAGCCTGTAGAATTAGATGCGCATTTAGGTTAATTAAGCTGGCAGCCTTCTGAGTTATGGCAACTAGTTGAAGGGAGCAGAGGCAATTTTCCAGCCTTGGATATGGGCTGTCAGCAGTATGTCAGTGAAGAGGAGGACCAGCTCTTGGCAGGCATGGCCAGCCCCATAGCAGCCTTCGGAGGCTGACAAAAATGAATCCTGCAGGTTCTGTCAGCCTCATCTGCCGAGCCTGACAAACGAGATGGGGTGCCAGGAGCAGCGGGCATCCTGGGAAGGGCAGGCACAGAGAGAGGGTTTCATAGGCACACCCCCCTGCATGCTTCAGGCCACCACAGCATAGCTGTGTCCTCAGGTCCAGGTGGGCAAGTGTCAGCAAATGGGGCAGCCCTCAGAGTTACATAAAGTGCCTCCCTAGTCGGCCTCCATCTTACTGCCGAGTTGCAGCTTGCAGAGACTACAGGTCCCACCATGCAGTGCTCTGCCTTGAGCCAGCAGCCAGGCTGCACTGCATGCTGGAACGTGCAGGTTCTGCCGCCCAGCCGGCCGGGCAGTGGCCATCAGCGGTTCTTGTGTTTGGCTGGAGAGCATTGCTCATGGCAATACCTTGGCAAGCTAAACACAACCCTCCAGCTCCTGGCTAGTTGTCAGTGTAGCCACTAGGGGTTACCAGGTCACTTGTTGGGCTAGCTGCTTGTCTTAGCTACATCAGCCTGACTAGTGATTTCAGTGAATTCTCACAGGAGTAACAGCGGGAAGAATTGGGCCCTAAGAAATCAAGACATGCTCATGTTTTGCTGCTTTCTTTCTGGTGCATCCTTTCAAAGTGAAAGTGAGACATGTACCAGGAATGGCAGAGCCATGGAAGAGGTGAAAGGCAGAAGATAGGGTGTTGCCCATTGCCATGTCGCATCAGTATTCATTATTTGGAGAGCCCCAGCTGATCAGTACCCCATTGTCCTGGGTAGCATCCATGCATTTAGTCAGAGACAGTCCTGCTCCAAAGGCCCTGCTTCTAGGAAGCATTATTAATTTTTCTTCAGGGCTGCAGAATGGAGGCCCAGAGACTCAGGATGTCTCTGGCAGGGCCAGGGAGTGAACCCGAGCTTTCTGAGTCCTAGACCCATGTCTTAGTCACAAAACCATCTTTTCTCAGTTTGAAGCAATCACTCCAGAGGCCCAGTCCAAGCCCTGAGCATGTGTTAGCTCACACGTGCTGAGTGAATCATGCCTAGCACTGCATCTCCACAGCAAACAGCCTTCACAGCCCCTCCTCCCTGGGAGATCTGGGTTTTTCATGAACCAAGTCTTTCTACACATGAACCGTTTGTGAATGAGCCTAACCCAGAAGGATCTTTCATCTCAGCAAAAGAAACCTAGCTCCCTCTACACTTCTCCCATCTGATTCACAGCCGGGCAGAGGTGTCTGTCTCCTTGCAGCCACACCGGAGCTGATTGCTCTACAATTAAATGGCTCACAGCTCTTTCATCTCCTGGGCTGGCAGCAGATTAACGCGTCTGCACTCCAGACAGAAGGTGTGAGGGAATGGGAGTAGGGGGAGGGAGTGTACAGTACACCAGGGGAGGGCTCGGGTGCTGTGCTCCTCTTGGAGTGGTGATGATCTTGGAAGGAGTTTTGGCCCTTACTCACATCAGCAGAAGCTGCGGGGCCTCGGTTCCCTTCAGCAGCAACCTCTGAGTGAATGGATGGCTGATTGCAAATCTTCCCCCATAATTCCCTGCTCCTTGTATTCTACCTGCCCCCATCTTGGCCCCAGCCCTGGGCACCAGGGTTGGCAGGTCATGGAGGGTACCTTGCAACATGCATTCCAGGGAATCCACAGCCACACGAGAAGTTCAGTGCTGTCATTCTGCACCCCCTTCAAGAGCCAGACACCTTCCTCATAAGCTAAAGGAGAATCTCCACTGCCTGTCAGCAATACAAGGCCTGTGACACACACCTGAGCAGTTTGCAGTCCATCTAAGAGGGGGTAGCAGTACATGCACAGGTACACATGCATGCACAAGGACATGCATTCACATATACACACCCCGCACATGTGCTCACTTCAATATTATTCTACAAAGGCTTCTGTAAGCCTCATCGTCTTGCACCTTCTTGTTCCTCTCTCATGAGGGCATGAGCCTGGAGAGGAAAAAAGTACCCATACCTGTTATGCTCCTTGCTGACTCCATGTTCTCCACCCAGCTCCCTGCTTTATCACAGAAGGACTTGCAAAAGCACACCATTAGCTACCTCCCATGTCAGTGTGTCATGGCAACAACTAAAAGCCCAACCTAAACCTTCTCAATTAGCATTGACAATTAAAACTTAAAACTGATTTTGGTCAGGCAACACAATGCATTTCCAGTGCTTCTGACAGGTTCAGCTCGGGAGCCCACGCACTGCCTTTCTTCAGGCACAATTACAAATTCAGTATTAATTGCAAATGTATCATTCGGTTTCACGTGATTGTCAGACAAAGGATCTGTATGACAGCTAAGCCAGCTGGAAGCCTGGTGTTGACGTAGCTGTGGTAGGGTGCATAGGGCACCTGCCACCTGAAGGGGAGAAGTAGCCTGCGAAGCAGCTGGGAGGTGGCAAGGTGGGGCTAACAAGAGCCTCACTTGGTTTGAGAAAGGGCTGGCCTTGAGATATATAAACTCAAGCCCTGGGAGGAGCCAGAAGTAAGATCCTGGAGGCTGTTCAGGGAATATTGTCTCAGCAGGAGGGCTGCAGCTCCTAAATGCCAACACAGAGAGTACAGCCAGCAGCAGTCTGGAGGTTTGGAAAGCAACTAAGCAGTAAAGGAGATTCCTGGGGACCCAGTGAGGGGTCTGGAGCCCAGAGGGCGGCTGAATGTGTGAGATCAGGGAGGGTCCAGAGCCCAGAGAGGGGCTGAGTGAGATGGGGTGCACATCAAGGAGTGATAACACCTGTGAGGCATGGGGTGTGGTGTAGGGGTGGGTCGGAGCCACACAATTAGCTTATATGATGATGACTGCAGACATCCGGTGATCATGTGAATGAAATCAAGTTGGGAAGCCCTGAGGCAACCTCCTTTATGTAAATAACAATGCAAATCAAGCCATGACAGGCGAGAGAAGGGGTGACCGCCCAAAGAGAGAGGGCTGGAGGGACTCAGGGGGCTTCACAGCCACCCTTGGAAGGTGCCTGCTGCAGTGGCAATGGACAGGCGGGGCTCAGTCTAGTATGTTGAGGCATGGAAAACTCAGAATTGCGTAGGGCCAAGAATGGTTGAAGACCTGGTCCAAGTTGGAGTGCTCATGAGACAGCAAGCCAACCCTCTGCTGGCATTTGGAGGGGGTATGGTGATTTGTTAGGAAGAGGAACAATAACAACTTTTAATGACACCATCCAAGGAAGGGCCTTAACTTCAACTGTTTCTTTCTTTTGCTTCCTAATCCAGATTATTTGGCGTGGATGGATGCTAACTGCAGCCACAGGGTCAGCCAGAACCCTGCAAACCCCTGCAGAATTGTAAGGATATGACCTTAGGAAGCTGGAGCGGGTCCTGAGGACCCAATCCAGACAGGTGTTTGA